ATCTTGGGCCAGAAAGCAACTGCCCAACCAGAAGACTGAACCAGAGTACACAACTGTTCCCTTCTAAAAGACAGGAGTGAGTAATGGCTCCCCATTAAACCATTTTGAAGAGCTTCCTTATTGACCTTCACCTTTCTCAACTTATAAGCTATTTATCTGTTTTTGTCATGTCAGTATTGACCTTCTGTTCCTGTTGTACATTGTCATGAAACGGAAAGGATTCACACAGGTAAAGTAAATAACAGGTTTATTTGCAGAAGTATGAGGAGTAAGTAAAAGGAGTAATTCTGTAGTGAGAAGGAAGGATTAATGGTATGTGACATCATTGATCTGTCTCTGTAATGCGAAGGGACCGATATAGCGAGGTCTCAGCTTACAGCAGGGCAGTCGAAGATGGATATCCTTGGTTGAAAGCCAGACCTTTTACCCTGGATGGTATCGGGGTGTCGCTAATCTTCTTGCTCGCCAAACTCGGGAGATAAACTGAGGGCCGAAGTCTGAGGCGATGTCATCGGGAACTCCAAACTGACGAAAGAGTTGCTGGAAGTGGCTTTCGGCCATCTCAAAGGCAGTAGGCAGTCCCTTTAGTGGGATTAATTTACAGGCTTTGGAGAAGTGATCCTCTATGAAGAGGATGCAGGTGTGAGACTTAGAGGATGGGAGGTCGGTGATGAAGTCCACTTCAATATGTGACCAGGGTCGGTTGGGAATGGAAGATGACGGGGAACTTTGGATAAGGCGCAGACTGAGCATCTCTGAACATATCGGGAGACTTCCTGGGTTATATTGGGCCACTAGTAGCGATTGCTGATGAGTGAGAGGGTTTTCTGGCTGCCTGGGTGTCCAGAGCCCGGTTATGTGTGGACTGAGTCCACGAAGGACAGACGGAGATGATTGGGCACATAGGTCCTTCCCCCAGGTCCTCCCGACGGAGCAGGTTCTGACTGTGTGGCTTGGGTGATGTGATCATCGAGTGACCACTGGATTGGGCTAACGATGATGGCTGGAGGGAGAATGGGTTCAGGAGGTGCGGTAATGGATTCAGGATGGCATAACTGGGATCGTGCATCTGCCCTGCCACTGAGATAGCACAGCACCTACCCCATTGGTGGAGGCGTCCACCTCGACGATGAAGGGGAGATCCGGATTGGGATGAACAAGGGTATGAGCTGTAATGAAGGCGTCTTCAAGTTGCTAGAATGCGGTGTTGGCTTCAGAGCTCCAGGACAGAGACTTGGCCCCACTCAGCAATAAGGAGGTGAAGTGATGAGGTTAGTTTTCTGAAGCCATTGATGAATCGACATTAGAAGTTGGCGAATCCCAGGAAGCGTTGGAGTTCCTTGATGGAAGTTGGTAGTGGCCAGTTCTCCACCGTCTCTACCCTGGTCCATCTTTATGCCGTGTCGATGATGACGTACCCGAGGAAGTGGACTGTGTCATGGTGGAACTCATATTTTTCGAGTTTCAAGAAGAGATTTAACTTACGAAGCTTCTGTAGGACCTGCGTGACATGGTGGTGATGGTCGGCCAGGTTCCGGGAATAGATGAGAATATTGTCTATATACAGGGTGAAAAAGCGATGAAGGTATTCCCGGAATAGGAAGAGGGTAGCGAAATTTGACAGTTTGAGAGTACAATAATCGATGCAGGGGTGCAAGCCTCTGTCCCACAAAGAAGAAACTCGAAGCGGCAGGGGAGGTAGATGGACAGATGAACTCCTGCTGATGAGCCTCGTCAATGTACTCCTACGTGGCCTTTAGTTCTGGGATGGACAGTGGATAGATTTTACCACGTGGTAGGGTGGCCCCAGGCAGCAGGTTGATCGCACCCATTGCCGATGAGGTGGTAGCATGATCGCCAACTGCTTGAAGACATCCTGGAACGCCCGGTATGCAAGGGGGATTTTAGGCTGTGCTGTGGTGTGGTGGTCAGACTCTCAATGGAAGTTAAACAAAGATTCACTTTGGTTGAAGGTTGATCACAGATTGAGATCGATGACTGAAGATGGATGCAGGAACCAGATGGCTGAGGGTAAATAGTTTAGGAAGATATCACAAAGGTGAGGAGTCATGTAGTGTTCTCTGAAGGAACGACGAGTGAGACAAGTAATATAGTTTTGCGTGATGATTGGTGATAGGTGATGGTGATTAGTACTCTGGTGACTGGGAACAAGTGGGTGGAGTATAGAGGCCTAGTGCTGTCGATGTTGACTCTGTGACAGTACACGGCCGAAGTGGACGGCGACGGCCTCTGCCTCTCTGGGCTGGACGGTTGGGATGAGCATTATGGAAGTCGTGCACCAGTGAAGGGTCCAGAATGTCATCACGAGCGACTCATGACCTTGAACACAAAGCTTTATTTCAAGTCAAGTTTTTTTTCTTTTAACTTCGGACCTTATGGATTATAAAGTCTGTTCTCTGAGTTTACAGTATCATCAAGGGTAGACCTCTAATGCGCTCCCAGAGTCTCCCTTTAATTTCACACTTCATTTCCTGTTCAGCCCACAGCCATAAATACCACTGTCTGTGACACAATGGAAAATTAAGTTTTTATGGTTGCATTGACATTTTTTTTTTGGGGGGGGGGGGGGGGGGGGGTTATGATTAGGCACATTTTTCACCCAAATTCTCTTTACTGCAATGCAATGCAATGCAAAAAAAGAATTTATGTAATAAGAAATTCATCATTAAATTGCATTTAAGAATTTGTTGTTCAATTTATGATGATAAAATCGTGTGAATCTTTTGTGAATTCATTCATAAATAAATAAACATGAGAAATTGGGTGGGAAATGTCCTTATTTGTCATAATATACTTTAATGATCCTTGAAATATTTGTACCGTTAAATCTTTAATTATGTGGTGAAATGTGAAGGGAACTAACATTGGAGGAAAATTAACCACCACTGTATTCTGCTACACTTATTAACCATAATAACATAAAGGTAACAAAGTGGCATGAAAATAGATAACAGATCAGATTGCTCTTCAGACCAAATGTGATAACCACACAACTTTTTTATAAAGGTGAGAGGGTTTAATACCTCCAAGCTTTTACACCTTAAAGTGGTTATCGTACACGTACAGTCCAATCTCCACTGGTTTAATAGCCTGTCAGAGGGAGTTACTAGAATGACACACTCCTGGGATTGTGCGTGGCAGAGCGGGACAGAGAGAGAGGGGGAAGACCCCAGGCTTGGCAGGAGAGCTTTAGGACGACACGTATGCTTGTGTGAATGAACACACACATAACATGCCTCAGCTGGCTCCCCGGTGAGATGTGCAGTGGCTCAGCTGTTTCGTTCCTGCAGTGAATGAGTATCTTATTATCACACACACACACAGGCTAATGTTAGAGGTAATGCACACATAACATTTAATGTTACAAGTTAATGTTACAAGTTACCTATTTCTGTACATTAAGAAAAGGTTTAATAGATGCACAGAAATACTTTCTGCTTCCCTAAAGCTATTTTTACTATAGGGTATTGCTAATGCTAAGTGGTTGCAATTTTCTGGGTGGTCACCAGAGATGCACGGGTCAGTGTATAAACAACCCGCACCCGACCAACATTTTCAACTAACCCGCCTGGGGTAACTAACCCACATTTAGTTACCTGGGGTGGGGTTTGGGGGGTGTTTCTTTGGTATGTGATTCCCAGGGCATTTTGGGTGGTCAAAATAGCCTGCTCTGGGTGGTTGTTAGGTTGTTGTTTTTTTACCTTATCAAGTACAACTAGGAAGTTCAGTTTAGTTGAAGACATCAAATTAATTTACAACATGATGCTGCATAAAGTGATGTGAATTAGTAATGTCGTGTATAAAAATATATGCTTTCATGTAAAATCCAGAGAGATCATGCAGCTCTCAGGCTCTGCGGGTTGTTCTGGCAAAATCCCAACCATATGGGGCCGCTGTAGGTCTGAAACTAGCAGACTAACTCAGTGACTCTTCAGTGGCCAAACACTACTCTGTTGCACTCTAGTATTTCAAATATTGTTTAAGAGGGATGTGGAAAGATTGTTTGGTTTGCTGTCTGTAATGGAAGAACCTTTTGTGAATTTTAAAGTTCATCTTTGTTGAAAGGATTTGCTGCCCCACCTACGCTCTACAGGACCTGGATCATTATAACTTCAGGTTTTTAGATTCAAATATATAAAAATATTGTATTCATATTTTATGTTTCATGTTTAAACATAACTTGTATTCGTCTACTTCATATTTTTTATTTCCCAGACAGAAAGGAGTGTTTTAGGTTCAGTCCCAAAAAGTATTTGGAGACAATTTGGAGAATTTGAAGTCAATTCTTTCATTTCATTCGTTGAATGAACCAAATGAAAAAAAAGATTTGTTCATTTTGATAAACGAGTTCGAGCAGGAGAGTCAGGAACGCGCGTCACAGAACAGAGCAAGGCGACCATTTTGAAGTGCATTATATGGAGAAAAATCCTGGAATGTTTTCATCAAAAACCTTAATTTCTTTTCGACTGAAGAAAGAAAGTCATGGACATCTTGGATGACATGGGGGTGAGTAAATTTTCAGCAAAAGTTTTTTTTTAAAAGTGAACTACTCCTTTAAGACATGCTTTTTTGTGCGGTAAATGTTGCAAAAAACTGAAAATTGACTAGCACAAACCTTATTAAACCACATTGCATGATTAATTTAAATCCTCTCCTATACATTTTTTGCCTACAAATGCATATTTCATTTTTAACGCCAAAAGAGCTGTTAGTAAATCTGTCCCTTTGTCTTTTTGAACAATTCATCAAGTATTTTATTATTTAAAACCTACTAAACATCTTTTTTTGTTAAATGTTTTGCATGAAGTGTGCACGGTTTGATATTTTGTCATCTAATGCATTGACATTCACACGTTTTTAAGTGTGGCTTTTCTAAAGCACTGTATATGGAAGTACTTCAGATCATCCTGAAGTACTTCCATATGTGATATATTGAATCCATCATATCGTTTAGGCAATATATGAAGAAGACAAAAAAATCAGTCTGAATATTTATATGGTCAAAGAGCAAGAAAGATGTAGTTTCACACAGGTCTCACATCTGGCACAACAACAGCTAAACTGCAAATACATGATGGACACCATAAAACAGCTTGATTAATATCTGCCAGATAGCAGAGGGCAGTAGTTTCATCGAATATCAGCTCATGTCCAACAGTTCAACTTCATATTGCTTTCTCCTTATTAAATGGGAACCTGCTGAATGTACCCCCCCAAAAAGGCCACTTCTAGAGTTGCGGCTCACTGTGATCCAGCCAGATGTAAATGGAAAGTGGCAGTAGAGATGTGCGAGCATCTTCTGTGTTGTCTGAAGGTGAGTTCACTTCTGTTTTGGTAGCAGAAAGGTTAACAGCCTCCGTTTTCTATTGGTCATTGGTCCTAGGCACTGCGTGGATCTCCCCCGAAGCCTGCAGAAACAACACGCAACGTATTACACACACAAACGTATAACGCTGCTGAAATGTGACAGATGAAATGAGGCAGTTTATTCACACGCTCAAGTGAGAGGGAAACACATCTTTCAGGCTGAGAGACATTTATCATACCGCCTACTTGAGCACATCTCTGTATTCTAATGTCTCTCTGTCAAGATTCTCTCACTCTCTCTCTTTCAGTCAACCTCTGTCTCTGGCTAATTAATGAACTGAAGCAGACGTGACAATGATAGAACGGTTATATCACTCAAGAGCAAATGCGAGATGACTAGAGGAGATTATTTACACATTGTGAGCGTGAACACATGCACCTAAAATGAATGCAGTGACAAATTGCTCCAGTAACCCAACAACGCCAAAAGCTTTCAGATTTACAAGCATTAGTGTAAAGAATCTGCTCTGTTTAATCGAACCTTCAGGTTTAAGTAAACAAAAACGTTTGTGTCTCATAATTATCTGTAAAAGGGTATCAATTTATATTTGTTTTCATATTATAACAGGAAGAAAGTCATACACCTGAAGGGCGCAATCTGTGCAGGAACAGGTCGGCATCTCCGCAATTTGATCCTACACTTAATCAGGTGAATTCCTCACAAAGGCATTCATGCTATGACTCATGATTCATGAAAGCTTTAAATAATAATGTTTGCTGTCAATAACTTGCAATAATTATGTATAATTTGTTAATTATGTATAACACAGTCACACACGCTTGCAGGCAGAGTTTGATGCACCACGACTCACCAGTCTCACTGGAGTGTGTTTACTTTTAATTGCTAGTGATGAACTTATTAACACATTAATTTACTCTACTGCAAGATATTGAAGCCATCGCTGTAGTAATGTTATTTCAATGCACTTGCCATGCTCAACCTAAACTAAAAATGAGTATGTGCATCGCAACACAGTAACTACATCAGAGCAATACAACTAGTTTATACCCTGCCATTCAGAAATATAGGCTGCCTTTATTCTGTCAAAATTCAGTAAAAAACAGTAGTATTGTAAAATATTATTACATTTAAAATAACTTTTCTGTATGAATATTAAAATATAAAAATATTATTTATTTTTGGAGACGGCAAAGCTGAATTTTCAGCATCATTACTCCAGTTTTCAGGGTCACACTATCCTTCAGAAATCATTCTAATTATTTGTGCATTTGTGATTTCAATGACAGTATTAACCTAATTTATTTAGCTCTGCAGGGAAAAGGGCATTTCATCTGCAAATCAATACCACACATAGTACATTCCATTCACCACAAAACAATCTCATGCAAAATAATCCATATATCCATATAATCCATATATTTAAAATCACTTGGCATGTACTGTATTAGATCAGTGATCATAGATAAACTAATATTTTTATTCAGTAAGGATGCATTAAATTGATCAAAAGTGACCATAAAGACATTTCAAATGTTATGAAAGATTTAGATTTCAAATAAGCTAAATGCTGTTTGTTTGATCTTTCTATTGTAAAATGTTTTTTGAGCAGCAAATCAGCATATTAGAATGAATTCTGAAGGATCATGTGACACTGAAGACTGGAGTAATGATGCTGAATATTCAGCTTGACATCACAGGAATAAACTACATTTTAAAATATATTAAAAATGAAGTTACATTTTTTAAAATTTTAATACTTACGCAAGATTACAGTTTTTAAACTGTAGCTATTTCTGATAAATAATAAAGAGACGTTCAAAAACCTGAAAAAATCTGACCCAGACTTTTGAACAGTAGTGTACATTAACTGATATAGATGCATTCAATTGTGCAGTTTCTTTTTTTAATCGCATATTATGGTTACACAATTATACTAATTATCAACATGCATATTTGGCATGCTGCCTGAGAGAAAGGGCTCCTAGCTCGGGATTTGGCCCGAACCCAGAGTAGGCTACTCCAGCTGGGTGGGATAGGAACAATCGAGAGGAAAGAGTTGGGGTGGTGGAATGATGTTGAAAAACTGTCGTAGGATATATACAAAGTCGACTATCATGCTGATTAGGTATATTATGAACGTACTCCTCCTGAACTTTATTAATAACACACCACGATAATATTGGACAGTAAAAAATACTAGAAAAAAATTCAGTCGCTTTACCTTCTGAATCCTGTTGCCTTCATTGTTTTGGAGTACGTCACTAGTGTTTCACGCTTTGCTTATCAGCCTGATATCAGTCGATTCCAGTCGACAGGCTACTTCCATTTTGATTCCTTGTGGAAAAACAACAACAACAGAACACACACAAGAAGGAAGTTAACTTTATCGAAGCAGGATTAAACATTGTTATCAGTACCTTTAGGAAAGAGTTAATGGACTTCTAAATCTTAGGTGTCAGCGTGAGTTTTGAGAGGTGAAATGCAAGCCACAACACCTCAAACGGCAAGCTTCCATGTTAACGCCTCGAGGCTAACAGCTCGCAAATGTGAGAGTCAGTGCAGGCACCAAACTAACACATTTCTATAATAAGAAATCATCATAGACAAGCCCTTCCTAGACGCAGGGATGCTTGAAGGTTTCATCGAGACAGAGGACCGAGAATGGAGACAACATTAAATCGGGCAGGATTTACTTTTGTCATTTTGTCCACATGCTTGACAGATAAAAGCTTGTGGTGAGAAAAAAACAAACCAAAAAGTTATTTAATTTTATGTTAAATTCATGTATGTTTTTAATTTATGCCCATGGTCTATCTGGCAAAGTGAAAGTGTTTTTGAAGATTTGCATACTTTGTCAACTGTGCAGTTGCATGGACACGTCACTTGATGGCAGCACTGAGCAACAAGTCAGCAAGGACCTTATCATTTTTTTTTTTTTTTTTTGTATTTGTTTTGTTTTTGTTTTTTTCTTGCTTCTGTTTTTGGTATGGTTTTGTCTGTACAAACGCTTGATTGTATATTGATGTTCTTCTTGTTTGTACTAGTTATTGTTATCAATAAAAAAAAAAAGTCAGCAAGGACCTATTTGATTCATACCAGTAAAAAACAAAAACAAATCTGGTGTTAAAGCGTTAGTTCTCCCCCAAAATATAATTACTGTATAATTTACTCACTCTCAAGCCATCCAAGGTGTATATGAATTTCTTCTTTCAACCAAACAATTGGAGTTATATTAAAAAATATCCTGGCTCTTCCATCTTTATAATGGGAGTGAATGGTACCTTAGATTTTGAAGCCCAAAAAAGTGGATCCATTCATCATAAAAGTAATACATACGACTCTAGGGGGTTAATAAAAGCCTTCTGAAGCGAATCGATGCGGTTTTGTAAGAAAAATATATTTGTAATTTTTTAAAATCACTGGAACGGCCGTACACAAGTCGAGTTCTGGGGTCCCGACGTATGACGTAGGGGTTGCGTAAACTTAGATGAGAGCAGACGCCTCTCACGGTTCAAACAAATTAGACTCGGCAACAAACTCCCACATTTCTCATTAAAAATTCTCGTTTTAGACTTCTAATTTGTGACAGGTGTTTTGTTTTGCTTGTGTTCGTCAATATGCCATATGTCAGGACAGAGGTCCGTTACCAGAAGCCAGTGCTTAGTATGTAAAGTTATAAATATAGATTTTTTTCTAACAAAAACACATAATTTCGCTTCAGAAGGCCATTAATCCATTAACCCCCAGTCGTATGTATTACTTTTATGATGGATGGACGCATTTTTTTGGGCTTCAAAATCTAAGGTTCCATTCACTCCCATTATAAAGACATTTTTTAATATAACTCTGATTGTGTTTGGATGAAAGAAGAAAGTCATAAACACCTAGGATGGCGTAAATTATGGAATAATTGACTTTTTGGGTGAGCTAACCTTTTATTAGATTAAAAAAGGCTCATTAAAACTAATGTTTTCTTTATGAATGAGTTTAATAACAGTCATGCTTGCCTTCTTTTTCTGCTCTAATTCTAGGTAGTGTGAAATGAACAGTGTGACGGACAGCGCAGAGGACTGTGACAGAAGAGCACAGGTCTATACAGGCTGAGAGTGATTCTCTGTGACTGAGCGTTTGGAACGTGTCTGGCGGACCGCCGTGCGTCCTCTTGCACCCGTCAACGGGAGTGTCAGCGTGAAACCTCCGGTAATCAGCTCACGCTGCACCTTGCGTCCTGTTTTCTCCACAGGAGAACGAAATAGGGAACGCCTGAGTGAACCCATAACCTGAACAGAATCACGCTTTGACAGCTACACAGGAAAAGCACCCGAGCCACGGGCGAATACAACAATCCACCACAACCTACTTCGCACTCTGGAGTCATGCGGGCAATTTGCATGCACAACGTTTCTGTCTTTCGGTCCGTCTCGCCAATATCAATCGTTTTCCACATGCAACACATTCAGTCATTTGTTAAAGATTTTAAAAATGGAAAAATGTGGGAGTGCATCAGCTCTCGATGGTTTGCAAACCCAAGGTTATGCGAATTATTTGCAGAATCTGTTTTACATTATTGTATAAAGGATTCAGATAGATCCTTTTCTGATCACAATTCTCACGCTCTGTTTTGCCAGTCAGGCTTTGTGAACCATCTGGAGCGTTGCTCTGACAACGGGGGAGGATGTCATGGTAACATTAACGGGGGTTACCCAGGAAACTGTAGTCGCCATGGAGACTGCATCACAAGGCGGACTCAAGGCGTGATCTCTCTCAGTCTTTCAGTCTCCGTTCTCGTAGTCTGCCATTCCGCCGAGTCCAACGGCTTTTTTTTTCACCAACCATCCGAGCCATCGTTTCAGCTGCTTCTTTTTTTCATAATTCAAAAGCACTGTGACGTCTCACTTTGAGGGGAAAGTGTGAACACTATTTTTAGGCTAGATGTGATTTGAGTTTTACATAATCTGGAGATAACTATATCTTCGCACAACGAATAACTTGATCACAAAATAAAGATCTATTTCCTTTCATTGAGTGCAAACCAATTTCATTTGGTACAGTAAAGTCAAATTCAATAGACACACATAGCTTTGATTACATTATTAATAAAACGTATTGGTTTTTTTTCTTCACATTAATTGAGTCTGCACTGGGTGATTCTTGAATTAGGGGAACTTTTTGACTACTTTTTAATCTATGTTAATATGCTATTTATCATGGAATAAAGATCAGATGACCTTAATAACCTTGAGAAAAAGTTAGTCCGTTATAAGCCAATTAACCTAATTTAAAAACACATAATAAATGGATTGTTTTAGAAATAAAACAATATCTACACCAAATAGAAATCCACTCTAACTCTAAAAATGTATGATATTCTGTCACATATTATCATAACCAAGTAGAAACATTTTTTTTTTTTGGAAAGACTTTGCTGTCCCCAATACTGCTGTAAAAAAAAAAAATTCTAATGTTACACAAACAGCAAAAGAATTAAAAAAATATGGTTTATTTTAAGTTACATTTTATATAGATTTATGGTAGACAAGATAAAAAGTCATGGTTGGAGACAATTCTGGCAAATTAAATGAGGAGATCAACAGTTACAGTGCCCGCCCACTTTTTCAGCAGCGCTGGTTCCGGAAGTATTTTTTCCATTCATTTTTCCCATAGGAATTTTTAAAAAGTCTTTGTTAAAGCATTATAAGCCATGAAACGAGCCAGTTAGCTACGAGGTGAATCACAACACTACAAACTTTAATTTGAAGCAAAAAAGTTTTTGAAAATCTGACAAAAATACAGAAGAACAGGATAATCGAATTAAAAACAATGGAAAAATATAAAACTACACACACACACACATATATATACTTATACATACAAACATGTAAGTATTTTGAGAGCTTAGAGAGACTGACTCGTGGAAGTGGGCGGAGCAAAAGAGCTATTTTGGTTCGTGTTACTTTTTTCGACTCACTGATTGGTGTGATTTTCTGTACAGCATTATGGGTAACATAGTTTTTCACCAGGAATTCTGCAGTTAAACACGATTATTTTCAAAATAAGATGAAATAATGTGGGCTGGCAGTTTCTGCAGAAGCAAATACTGTGGATTAACAACCTCGTAGCTCACAGTTTCTTGTTCAAAATAAATTTCCCTATGGAGAAAATGAATGGGGTTTACCACTGGAACCCAACAGTTTCACCCAATTAAAGAGACACATTAAATGGTTAATTGACCACAAAATGAACATTCAGTCAGTAATTACTCACCCTCATGTTGTTCCAACCCCTTAAGACTTTCGATCATCTTCGAAACACAAATTAAGATATTTTTGATTAAATTTAGACTACAGTGGCTCAATATTAAGTTTATCGAGCGACGAGAATATCAAGCAACGTTTCTAGGTTGTACGTCACACGTAGGTTCACTATTGGCCGACACTGGTCATGTGTTTTTTGTTTGTTTTTGAGCACAAAACAACAACAAACAACATGAGGGTGAGTAATTACTGACAGAATTTTCATTTTGGGGTGAACTAAAAAACCCTTTAAAATCTATTGTAATATATTCTTTAAAACAAAGATAGGATTTTTGGTTTGTTGATTTAAAAAAATAATCTTTTTATAAAAGATTTTTTCTTTAAAATCATCCTAAATGACAGAAAAGTTCCCCTAATTGAATCACCCATATATTCAACAAAATACATATGTTCAACACAGCATCATCTTCAGTTTGTTCACATTAATAGCGACACGTATTCGGTTGTTTCACTTTGCCACAAAACGTAAGATATTGCGAATACTAATGTATTATGATGATTATATGTTAACACTGATAACAAACGCAGACTTACTAGCACAATATATGCAGTGTGAGTGCTTCTTTTTACTCCCTGACCCGAACCTTATCCTTTGTGTGCTGTAGACAAATGCAACACGTGAATCGGAGATTGGCACCTTTCTACCAAAAAAGCGCCCTGATTTACTTCTAATATGCTGGCTTGTCGAACATGTAGGGTACAACGGATCTAAAGGCCATCGGGGGTAAAAGGCCCTTTGATTGACTTACTCCCAAAACTCTGAAAAGCAACAAAAACTACCACAGTACTTTCCTAAACACCTGTTGATCTGAAGCTGATTTAATCTATAGTTTTTCAGTACCTGTTGAATAAGTGTAGCTTAACCAAAATCTAACTAAAAAGTCCAACTAACTGTGTTCAGGAATTGGGAGGTAATAGTTTTAATTTTGTGAGGGCTAATATTACTGTAACTGCTTGAGTCAGTATGTGAAATATGACTGTAGCTTCATGAAATGCCAAAAGTGAGTAAATCAACTAAAAATAGCTACATGGTTCGCTGAAGTGATCATTTTAAACAAGTATGTACTTAAATGTTACTCTAAAATAGTGCTGTCAAATCAATTCATCTTGATTAATTGCACTGTAAAAATGAATGCGCTTTATCTAATCAAAAAAATCGTGTCAACAGATTACAAGCAATATTATTAATTCAATTTAACAATAGAATTGAGAAATAATTCATACCTTAAAAGTTGACCATTTAAAATGAGTAAAACGTACATTTAAGTCACCATTATGGTGATCGGTGTTTGTTTTAGGTTTGTTTTAAAATGACGGTTTTCTCCTTCAGTGATTCTGCTTGGTAACAAGTTGGCAATTTAAAATAAAGAGTTCTTAATTAATCTTTGACGACTGTCTGTTATTCAGATATTTTGGTGTAAACTTTACTCATTTTAAATAGTTAATTATTAGTTAATTAATTATTACTCAATTCTAATTTGTTTAATTTAATGAATAATATTGTTTGTAATCTGTTGCCACAGTTTTATTGATTAGATAAAGCATATTCATTTTTACAGTGTGCATCTAACATAAAATTTAGATGCTTTTCTGTTAGATACGATTAATCATGATTAATCGATTTGGCAGCACTACTCTAAAAAAATATCTTGCTATAGCAAAAGTATTTGCATATGGTGACAAATTCTTCCATCCTAAATCAAAACATACTACTTGTTGCATTTACTTTATACAAATTAAGCTTCTCCAATATTCAGTAAATAATAATAATAATAATCTTTTCACCTGTCATGTACTTTGGGACCAAAACCAAACACAAAAAGGGGCGGCTTTTAGCCCCGCCGTACCCTAATAACGCGACACCTGACATTTTCAGTGGTTCCATCATGATGATTGTTGTAAGACTGTCTGGCACTGCACATGATTTACACGTCTGTGAATATCTTTTTAATATTCACACAGTTTTGATTGTTCTGGTTGGAGTAGTTCGTCTGTTTGAAAGCACTATTTATTCCTTCCTCTACGACCATATATTCCGATTTACTGAGTGAGGATGTGCTCTGTGTCTGTTTCAGATCCTCAGTGGAGTTGAGATGCTGACAGCTGCCGACGTGGAGGTACTGTGCGTGCTCTTCCCCATCGGTTTCCCGGTGATAAAAGTAATTGAAATTGGACACAATGACAGGGACGGGCAGCGCAATGGTCAATACGCCAGCGATGGCGCACAAAGATCCCACAATTTTGCCTCCTATGGTCACTGGATGCATGTCTCCATAGCCGACGGTGGTCATGGTAACCACAGCCCACCAAAAAGCATCTGGGATGCTGCTGAAACTCGAGGAAGGGTCGTCAGCCTCCGCGAAGTAGACGGCGCTGGAAAACAAGATGACCCCGATGAAGAGAAAGAAGATGAGGAGTCCCAGCTCCCTCATGCTGGCTTTTAGCGTCTGGCCGAGAATCTGGAGGCCTTTGGAGTGGCGCGAGAGCTTGAAGATGCGAAAGACCCTCACCAGACGGATCACGCGGAGGATGGCGAGAGACATGGCTTGCTGACCGTTGGCCTGGCTCTCGGCTAACTCCGTCCCCAAAGTGATGAAGTAAGGAATAATAGCCACGATGTCAATAATATTCATGATGTTTTTGGAAAAAGTAGCCTTGCTGGGACACGCAAAGAATCGCACGAGCAGTTCGAAAGAGAACCAGATGATGCAAAGGGTCTCGATCACAAAGAAAGGGTCTGTAAAAGTGCTGGACACAAAAGGACCGGTGCCATTTACAATAGGCGAGACAGGAGTTGGGTCCTTGTCGTCCCTAAACTCGGGCAGGGTCTCCAAACAGAAAATAACAATGGAAATCAAAATGACCAAAACAGACACAATAGCAATGCCCCTCGCAGGACCAGAGCTCTCTGGGTACTCAAACAAAAGCCAAACCTGTCTCTGGAACTCGTGGTTTGGCAAAGGTCGCTCTTCTTCTTTGATAAATCCCTCGTCCTCGCGAAATTTCTCCATGGCTTCCTCGCCAAGTTGATAAAAACGAATTTCCTCCGAGAAGATGTCAATGGGAACATTCACGGGTCTCCGAATACGCCCCCCGGACTGATAGTAGTACAGGATGGCATCGAAGCTCGGTCGGTTCCTGTCAAAGAAATACTCGTTTCTGAGCGGGTCAAAGTAGCGCATCCTCTTTTTCGGGTCCCCGAGCAACGTGTCCGGGAACTGGTTGAAAGTTTTCAGCTGGGTCTCGAAGCGCAGTCCCGAGATGTTGATGACCACTCGCTCGCAGCACTCGTGGTCGGGCTCGTATCGATCCAGCGACAGGTGACTGGGCAGCGCCGCGCTTTCCTCCAGCATGTTATCGCACGCGACCACCGTCATGATGTCCTTCTCCGTCTCCGCGTACCCGTGGTTGTCGGCGTTGTTCCCTCTGTGGCTGGCTGAGGGTGAGTCAATGAGGTTGTAGTGGTCATCCATACAGGTGAGGAGACGGAGCGGCAGAGGGCGACCCGCCTCCCCTACCTATCATCGGGTGAATTGAGGGTTTCTCAGTCGCGCGCTCTCTTTTGCTTGCTTCTTAACACACTGTCGCCGCCCCACGGAGCTTTATAAACACATGTCTACTCCCGCCCACGGCAAACATATGCCTGACACATTTCCAACACTCGCCCAATCGGAGCGCAACAAGAAAAGATAGTCGATTTTTGGCGAGCGCGCGCCACTGTGTTTTGGCTTACGCGCATTACGCAAATCATTCACAGAAAGTATATTACTCAAGTTCAAATGATTGACACAATACCAAAGACGTGCTCTCCCACACAGTGTGTGAATTATACGAAGACATTTTTCAAAGCAATGTACGTTATTTTTTTTGTTCAAAGGTTCTTTTCGTGCAAACAAAATCTTTTACGCCTTTAGGACATGCAACAGTCATTTAAAATCGCTTTACAAAACTAGCCTACAACGTTTTTTTACATTAGCCTATAGTGATACATCTCGTTCTCCCATTCGCCACTAAACTGGTTACTTCCTCAGGCGAGCGCGCGACTTTCCGAGTTTTATTTTGATATGATAGTTTTTATATTCTTGTGAAAGTGCAGACTGACAAAACTGCCATTATCACTTGCAAATGACAAATACAATAAATACATAAATAAATAAATAAATACATGTAGAAACTGACTGCCTGAAAATCTTAAATTTGAACGCGATGTAGCCGTTGTCACGATAAAATGCCATTTGCCATTTAGATGTATTATTTAGCCTACACAAGGAATAGTGTCGAAAGGATGTCATAATAGGCTGTTTTCTTAAACGAAGCAAGTGTTCTGGTTTTATCATTTTTGCAAAAATAGTTTAGCGTAAACAATTACTTCCGTTTTTAAACATTATGATTATGGTTATGACTTTACGCATGAATTATTGTCTTGTGGCTGAACGTTTCGATGAAGACAACGGAGCTCTCCATGGTGCTGAAGATGCGCGCGCTTCAGCGAGCACGCGAGGGAGGAAAACATGTAGAGACTGACCTGTATCTGCTGAAGAGAATCACATCTTTATGTTTACGTTTATATCACGACGTTTAGTCAAATTAACAAGGCGAAAGGAGTCTAGTAATTGTCTTTTTTTATTATTATTTTTTTACTGTGACCCTTACACATTTTACATGCAGTTACTACAGTAATAACAGTCAATTATGCATAGTTACATGCAACTAAACCAAACCTTACCCTTAACCCTACAGTGATAATATAGGAAGTGGTTAATTACTATTACTTAGTGCTTAATTGTATAATTACATTATAACAAGGACACCTCAACGTAAAGTGTATAACCACACACATACAGACATGTTACTAATACTGTTTATTCAATCCCCTAAGCCTAAAACCTACCCATCACAGAAAACTTTCTGCATTTTTACATTAAAAAAAGCACAATTTAGTCTGATTTATAAGCTGTTTTTCTCATGGGGACAAGAAAACGAGATTTTTGCTTATATTGTAGTGTTCAATAGAACAACCTTCACCTATGCAAAGTCACTAAAAACACATTTATACAGAAACATCTTTTTGCAAGGACAGATACATCCTCCAAACATCATTGAATTAGCTTTTTCTTCAGATTTGAGAAGAATGATGTTGTGAGCCTTGATGTGTCCCTTGCACTCAATCTTATCTTTAATGAGTGGTTTGACACACAGGGAGGAGAGGGTGAGTAGGAGAGATACTCTCTTCATATTCAGCCTTCCCCCTTGTCATCACAGAGCTGTTAAGATGGCAGCTCTCTCCTACATCTCATTCAAGCACTTGTGGTCCTCAACTCAAGAGGGAACTTGTTTCCGTGATTATGTATATGTCTGTGTGTCCTCGTCCTTGAGTTAAGCAATGTTAAGCAATCCCCATTTCTGATAATGGAATCCGTTCTCCATGTGATCGGTAGCTGGTGTCTGTCATGATTGCACAAGCAGGGATTGGCCAGCCATTGATTAAACAGGGTATTTGCACAGCATGAGCCATCTAGAGAGCACAGGGGTGATTCATCTTTGTAAAAAAAGAGCTCACCGTTATTAAATATTCATGAGCATTTTTGGTTTTGCCCTTTGTATGAGCCTGCCAATAGTATGCATTATTAATTTGGAATTTAAAGCGAAACTATTCTTTAAATGACTGGTCGGATGGCTTTAAAGATGAATTCCAGCAAGTGCATACAACAGGGGGAGGGAAATGAAATACAGATGAAGTACTATGAGGCATTGTGTCTAGACTGTCCGAATATTAGCTTGGTGAAATAAGCCTTCTGTGCCACTGATTGGCAACTGGCTGGTGAGCAAAAGGAGAAATCGATGGGGGTTTGGGGTCACTGCTCAGGAAGCTAAGCTGGAGATCATTACATGTTCACATTGGTCAAGGTCAGTGCAGGATATAGAAATATTTTCTGGATTATCTGCGGTCGGAGACAGGCATAATAACAAAAGATGGCAAAAGATCTGTGTAGTACGGAAGCGTATTGCATTCACTTGACGAAAGAAAAATCTACTCTGTTTTTCTGAATTAGAGGAGTAGTTCACTTTTAAAAAAAAACCTTTTGCTGATAATTTACTCACCCCCATGTCATCCAAGATATCCATGTCTTTCTTTCTTCATTCGAAAAGAAATTAAGTTTTTTGATGAAAACATTCAGGATTTTTCCAGTGCAAACTGCAAACTGTTCAAAGGGTCTTTAAACGATTCCAGACGATGAATAAGGGTCTTATCAAGTGAAACGATCGCTCATTTAAACAAAAAAACAAAAGTTTAAGTTTTATAAGCTCAAATGATCCTCTTGCTCTGTTCTGTGATGCACGTTCCTGACTCTCCTGTTCGAACTCGTTCATCAAAATGAACAAATCTTTTTTCGATTCATTTGATTCATTCAACGAACGAAATGAACAAATTGACTCAGATAAAGATTCGTTCATTTTGATGAACGAGTTCGAACAGGAGAGTCAGGAACGTGCATCACAGAACAGAGCAAGGCGACATTTGAGCTTATAAAACTTAAACTTTACTATTTATTTATTAAATGAGCGATCGTTTCGCTTGATAAGACCATTATTCGTCGTCTGGAATCGTTTAAAGCCCTTTGAACAGTTTGCACTGAAACTGTCTTTTGGACCTTGAAACATTTGGTTCCCATTGAAGTCCATTATATGGAGAAAAATCCTGGAATGTTTTCATCAAAAACCTTAAATTTCTTTTCGACTGAAGAAAGAATGACATATTGGATGAAGTGAGGGTGAGTAAATTATCAGAAAAAGTTTTTTTTTAAAGTGAACTATTACTTTAAGAGGGGGTTAGATTTAATGAAAATGTCACAATGCCAATGAAAAGTCTATACACATTTCATTTTCTTTTAGCAGATATAATTATTTTTCTCTGATTTTGGCTGAAAATTATTTAGTCATGATTTTTTGAGTCAAACCTAACTCATCCTCTCTTTTAATATAGAATAAAGCCTCATGTTTTGGCAATATTTTTGAATTCATCTTCTTTTCTCACCTCTGCTAATTAGGCAGAGCTACCAATCAGAACATCTGCTGCCATGGTAATGAGGAAAACAAACACACATCAATGACTTGGACGCCTATTTCCATGCTGACACCTCCTCAACCCTGCCAACCATTTTAACCATGGGGAAATATAACATACACACAGGTATGCTCCAATATATACATGCACACACTAACTTACAGTTGCTTTGAAAACAATGTAACATCACGCAGAAAAATTGCAATTAGAAGAGTGAAATGATGTACATTGTTCTGTGTAATTATGGCATTCATTTGTATGTGTTATTCTTGTTAAATGAGAAAAGCAAAACAACTAATTTTTGACATCACCAGTCTGGCATTGATTTGCATAAGCACTTCTAATCCACTTGCACTTGAGTGTGCATGGACCATTGTGGGGCTTGCTGTAATATATGGGGTAAGTTGTCACAATAGGATCATGAAAAGTTTTCCTACAGCAACTGCACTCTAAAAAATGCTGGGTTGGGTCAAATATGGACAAATCCACGCGTTGGTTTACATTTTTAATTGCATTTTTAAACCCAATGATGGTTTGTCCATATTTGACCCAACCATGGGTTGAAACAACCCAGCATTTTTTAAGAGTGTGTCATCGTAAACATTTAAAAGATATGTGACAACAAAATGTACAAAACAAAACATAAAAAAGGCTTAGAGAGAGAGAATGGAAAAGCTCATAAAAACTCAGTTTTTTATTTATTTTTTTCATTACAAGTGGTCTTCAGAGGGGGAATTTATTGTATATTGTATTAATATAGCCTACACATATGTGGTCAGTAGGAATTTTCTTTTTGAAAGAAGGTTATACTTTTATTAAAAAAGTAAAGTAAAGACATTAATAATGTTACAAAAGATTTCAGTTTCAAATAAATGTTGTATTGAACTTATTGAAGTTTTACATATTAAGCAGCACAACTGTTTTAAATATTGATAATAAGAAGAAATGTGATACTTTAGACTAGAGAGTAATTAATAAAAATTCAGCTTTGCAATCTAAGGAATAAATAACATTTTAAAATACATACATTTATTTGAAGATTTCACAATATTACTGTATTTTTGATTTAAAAAAAATGCAGCCTTGGTGAGCATAAAAGACTTTTAAAAACGTGAATATAAGAGAGACGTGAAGGTCAAGGGGAAGGAGAAGCCGTGGAGATTAGTGGCCGTAACTCGTCTCTCTTTATTTCTCTCCACACCTCTCCTCTTTAGGGCTCTGTCAGTGTAATAAATGGACTGAGAATAGGTTAATCTCCCTCCTGGCTATTAGGTTATATCTCAACATGCCCTTAGGGGGGCCACGTGTGCATGCACCTCCGGATCCACAGATTGTCTTTCATCCATTCTTCCACAACAGCAGCGAGAGCTCTCTACATGCTTCTGTGGCCAGAGGACATCGACTGTTTCTTTCCATCAGTTGCAGATGTCTGAAGAAATCTTGCTGTGGAGTTCACATCAGTCAACATATACCGAACAAGTGGGGCAGAGGATGAGATTCATTTGAACGTCTGGCATTAGGCATGTCAATGAAAATCATCCTGCGGTTAGTAGTATGAAAACAAACAGAGGGATGACATTTCCTTTATTCTGTGGCTCAAATAAATATTCATTTCGCTGCTATTTTCCAGAGAAATGTTTTGTGGTGACTCATCATGACTGACACTTATTTTCACTTCCAACAATAAGCCAAAGATTCAGTTGAGTAATATTTTGACTGCTGTGTGACAAACATGCCAATTAAGTGCTATTTACATTTCCTACAACAGAACCATATAAACACTTTCTATGTTTTTGGCATATTAAATATGTTGCAATGACTCTTGCAAGCACAATAGAGTTGAAGTAGATGCTGTATTTGGAGGTTAGTGTATTGGACATGTTGTGTTGTTCATTCAGCCAATGAAATATTGAAATGATCAATGTCTTTTTACATATTTTCAGTGCAGAGTTTTTTTTTTATTGAAGATGTTACTGCTTTTATTCACTGTAGTTTAAAATTCATTTCAGATTTGTTCACTTATACCATTTAAAAGTTGGGGTTGGTATGATTTCTCTTATATGATTAACAAAGCTGTACTTATTTGATAAAAAAATACAGTAAAAACAGTAAAATATATTTAAAATGTATTCTTTAATTAATTCAATAATTCATTCATTCATTCTTGTGATGAAAAAAACTGAATTTTGAGCATTATTACTCTTACTCAGTCTTCAGAAATCATTCTATGCACTCTAAAAAATGCTGGGTTGTTTTAATCCAATTTTGGGTCAAATATGGACAAACTTTTAATCCAATTTTGGGTCAAATATGGACAAACCCAGCCGTTGGGTTACATTTTTTAAATTACATTTTTAACCCAATGTTTGAGTTTGTCCATATTTGACCCAAAATTGAGTTAAAACAACCCAGCATTTTTAGAGTGTGCAGATTTGCTGAAATTATTATTATCATCAATGTTGAAAACAGTTGTGCTGCTTAATATTTTTGGTGGAAAACTTTATGCGTTTTAGAAATTACAAAAGAAACTATAATGTTGTTATAATATAAGACTATAAAAAGTGCAGGGTTGTTTTAACCCAAATTTGGGTTAATTATAAACGAACCCAACCGTTGAGTTACACATTTTAATAACATTTTTTTAACCCAATGGTTGGGTTTGTCCATATTTGACCCCAATTTGGGTTGAATCAACCCATCATTTTTTTGAGAGAAATGTCTTTAATGTTAACTTTTAAACAATTTAATGTCTTTGCTGAAAAAAAAAAAAAATTCTTTCAACAAAAACAACAACAAAAAAAATCGTATTAATCCCAAACTTTTGAAGGATAGTGTAATGGGGACTGAGGCCATCAACCTTTAAAAATGTCCATTATGAAAGTGAGTAAAAGGCATGTAAGATAGATACCTTAAAAGTCAGTGTACTTGTGTGTATTGTCATTGACATCAAACCTACACTCTATAAAATGCTGGGTTGTTTCAACCTAAATTTGGGTCAAATATGGACAAACCCAAATGTTGGGTTAAAGTGTAATTAAAAAATGTACTGTTGAAAGTGAAAGTTGAAGTTGGGTTAATGACATTTTTAACCCAACATTTGGGTTTGTCCATAATTAACCCAAATTGCATTTACAACGTATTATTTTGTATCCTTACAGAGCGTTCTGGACATTTTGTAAAATATCTTCCATGATGTTCCACCAAAGAAAGAAAATCATGCATGTTTGGAACGACACAAGGGTGAGTAAATGATGACAGAATTGCCATTTTTGAATAAATGATCCCTTTAAAATGGCCATAGCCATAGAAAGTGTATATAAAGCCAACAAGTAAACCTGTTCACTGGTGTAAAACACCTAAACACTTTTTATTACATGAGCAAAGTGCTTCAAAACAACTGGATCGCTGCGCCCCTCCCCCAATACTCCTGATGTTTCCTATAGGAGCTGTCAGAAAGGCAAGCCTAGACACACATGCAATCTGCTCTACAGGGGGGAAAAAGGTTCCCCTACCCCTGTGTCTCATTTATCACACCAGCTGTCCAATAAACACACACACACACATAGACACACAGGTAGACAACTTGCCCTCCATACACTGCAAACCAATGGAAAAACAAACACTCATGGTGTTTTGCAGTTGACATGCATACAACAACATCTATTTATGTGCATAAAAAAAAGCCATGCACACACACACACACACACACGGTCCTGCATAATACATGCGCGCACGCTTGCACACTTATAACCCATAATCCACCCACACAGAAATTGAGACGGGTTTTCCCCTGGTGCAGAATTAAAGAGCTCACGCGTTCCCAGCCCCCTCTTCCTCTTACCTCTCCCTTCCTGCACCTCGGAGCTGGGAAACACTGGCAGCTGAGCACCTCACAGAGCGTATCCATTATGTAGAGTGAGATTACCCTGGACGCGGTCTACAGGCTTCCATAACATAACAAATACATGCCCTGTGTTTATATGTGGATGGATGAGGTTATTGCCAATAAACAATTTGCCAGAAAAAATCCTCCATTTGCAGCAAACATTAATAGCGAGTTACATAACGTAGGGAAAACCATAAAAAGAACACATGCATACACAACAATTATGGTATAGCACAGTGAATTATGCAAAAAGAGCAGGACTGGTTTATCATAAAGGAAGCTAAGTGGCAAGCTGAGGAGACCCGATAAGAAAGAGAGTGAAAAACACATGAAATATTTGCAATTGGAAATGTGCAGGTTTGCACGTATAAAGTCAGCACGGGGATGCTACTGTAGGCTGCTGTGGGTGATTACCAGGGCTTTTATTTTATTATTTATTTATTTTAGGCTTTTTACAGTTCAGAATCCTTATGATATATACAACATGGCGTATATTCGCACCTAAACTATAGGCTAAAAGTGTGTTTGCTATAAGTGTGGGTCTGTAGCACCATGCACTAATGAAACCAGAGTGCTCACAGCTGGCATCAGGTAATGTGTTAATATTGGTAATTGAGGTGAGCTGTGTGAAATGTTACCAGAATGGACTTTCTCCATAAAGAACTGATTGCAAGGAAGACATCAGGACTCCCACTGGCTCCAGTTCCTGAACTAATGCACTTAAAAAACAATCTCAAATCACTCTTCAGGTTTCTGCTTAATATAATGACGCACTTGAGATATGTTGTCTTTTTGCATCTCCGTCTGTGTGTATAATTTCAAAGTGATGTTAGGGTAGACTCACCTGATTTTATTAGAAGTATTTCAGATTACACTGAAGTCAATCAGTCTGTGATATTAATGGCAGTGGGCGGAACAAAATTGCCTATGAAAGGAAGGTAAGGATTACCATTTAAATGATCCAAGCTTTCATATCCTAACTAGGTCAGGCAGATGACATCAAATGTTCTGTTAGTTTCTGTGGGGGACGTATGCATCGATGCTGTGGTGTTTTCTGGAGCCAGTTGCAAAAAGCCATTATTAAGACTTTTTTTAAAAAGAACTAGAATGACCAACCAGCAGTCAGGCCGCATTTACATTACTCGACCCAATTCCGAATTTTTCCTCCCACGTGGCACAGATCGGATATGACCCACGAACGTGAAACGTGCATTTGCGTGGGCCATTTTAGTGGACGGTCCGAAAGTGGACAGCAGCGAACACTGCTACATTCAATCAGGCTTTAACAAGGGCTCCCCTTTCTTCCTTCTTCTCTGCCTTAAGAGACCAATGTCTTGTGCAGAAAGCAAAAGTATTATTGTTTTGCCTGCATCCATTGCAAAAGCCGCCGTTCTTACTTCGTTTTCGGCCAAAGCTTTTCTGGGTGAGTGCGTCTACCTTGAGTTTCGTCAAATGTAAATGCAGATATGATGCTGTTCGTCAAAAGAAAAAAAAAAGCATACAAGTATTGGAATTGGGCATCTGGACCTGCAGTGTAAATGTGGCTTTAGTTAGGGGTAATCAGTCTTTTGGTATCAAATTAGACATTTTTATGTAACTGACTTCAAAAAGTTCAAAAAATTTGACTTCAAAAAATATGATGACTAACTTGTAAGAATATTCTGAGCAGTTAATGCAACCGGCCCCTGATTAAATGCTTGAAACCCCATTGTTGGAGACCTGTAATCTGGATGCTGCACTTTCAAACCTTTCTTTTTTTTTCTTTAACTATTTGAGAAAAAATATATAATTACATTCTCTCTAATTATGTTTTTTTATATATAAATACACTATCAAAAGTTTGGAGTAGAAATGAGTTTCAAAAGTTTTTGAAAACAATATGTTATTGTCCCATGTAAACTACAAAAACGTGCCATGCGCATTATGAGTTCAGTATATAGTGTTTCTTTACAAAGTGACATTGCCAACTACTGGCTTGGCTCCATAATACAATTTTTTTTTAGTTTTCACGGATCTGTGTGAAACGGATCACAGGTTTTGTCTGGACATGAAAAATGCGTTGTGGGTTAAACGAACCCTTAGACTTGCCGAGCTTTTGAATGGTAAGCTACCTTAATTTTAAGTGGTTCTGTGGTGTGACCATGTGACTGACTATTTCCAGTAACCTCAATTAGTATAAGGTCATTAAAGCTCCATGTATATTAATTATAGAAGAATTTTTTTTTAAAGAACAGCTTTAGTGAATTCTCGCATGTCGCACCACAGAATAGGCTATTACAGAAAGTGCTTGATTTAACATCAACTATAAAGGAGGCTTTTTGGATTTGGTGGTTTAAGGGCATGAAGAATGATATGAGAGATTATGCTGTCATTATCCAACCCATAAAAGACAATTCTTTGAATTGACTATAGTGAAATGTATAATCCTCCACACAAAAAAAGAGAAGCAAATCCTTGTAAGAAAGGCACAATGAATACAAAATGATTTTGATTCCATCTTAATGATTTTAATTTGGTTCACACCGGGATCTCTCTCAAGTGTAGGGGAAAGTGGGTTAGATCTCAAGAGTCGACTCGGTGTTCTAGAAACAACACGGATCCTTTTTTCTCACGTGAGTCGTGCGAGATGTTTATC